AGGAGGCAGGGACTAAAAGAACACGATATATAAAGATAAAAAACAAAAACTGAAACCTGAGAAGGGAGGGGACGAAAACCAGCCCTTGTAGAGACTGGGAACAGCCAGAATTTTTTCTTGACAGCTACTTGGGGAGTCCTAGACAAGTCCCAGAACATAGCACTCCTTTGCTGGTGCCCTTTTTGCCTTCCCCGAAGCCATGACAACACCACCTGGATGCGGCTTGGCCCACCATCTTTTGGACCACGTAGACTACGGCGGAGCAGTTGAGGTCTTTCAAGTGGTAACACTTGCCTGCAGGCTGCTGTCTTTACAGCTGACCGTCCAAGTTTGCTGGGGAGAACCATACACACAGCTAGACCGAGCGCCTGGCCAGTTTGTGATGCTAATGACGCACTATAAAGCTTATAAAACTTGCACGACCCTTGGCGTAGCGGCAGAAAGGCGATAAGTGCAACACACTTCCCTTCTCAGTTCGATAGCACGCGTCACGCATATCGAGCCAGTCTGCAACACAGGCGGGAACAGCTCAGTAGCCTCAACGCTCACATCTCTTGTTCGTCTTGTTCGCTTCTTCTCAAACTGCTCAACTGGCGCGTTTTGACTACATTTTGTCCACCCTTTTTTTTGCTCTCCGCCACCAGGCTCTGGGTTCACCCTACCCGAAAAGCACGACCACGCAACCACCCCACCCCCACACCCCCTAATACTCATTTTGTTCGCCCATCAAGCACTTCAGCATCGGCTGGCTTTCGTAACAAACAGATTCTGGGCAGCATGGAGCCATGACTGCATTCTTGACCACCCTGTCAAGTCATCCAGATTTGGCTGCACCCTGGTGTGTTGCTGGTACGCGGGGAATCGGTGCTATCAAACCACACTATGCAGTCCTCCATCACACGGTTGACCACATCAGAAACACGCTCCATCTCCTGCGTACGTTCGAGCATGCAAGAGTCATGCGAGTTTCAAACGCAAAAAACATGGTATATTACGTACAACTCTGTGACCAGGCTGCTACATCTTGCAACATTGCAAAGCAAAGCGACTGGGAGGTTCTCTCCATCCAATCAGTCACGGTAATGTTCACTCCCAGCTGCATCTGGATGTTATTGATAACCTCGCAGGCTTCTTGCAACCCACTCTGCAGTAAAAAGAATGTAGTCATGTGATCCTTGACAGGATTTCACGGCACCCTTCGAACATGCAGTGCGCACCACTCACTTCAACGGCCTGGTGCTGTCCACTCTTCCAAAATACGTTCAAACAGTACTGCGGGTCTCCTATGGGGCTTTCTGTAGTCCCCAGACTCGTTTTGGCAACCCCAAAGATGGTTGGTTTTTGCTACATGACCATTCATTGATATACAAATGATACGCCCCAAAGCTGGGCAGCAGAAAGGTCTGAAAAGTACAGTCTAAGATGCTCACCAGAGTTGCACCCAGGGAATCAATACCATCCTTAGTACGTTCCAAACTCCTGGAACACTTGAGATGTATGTTCTTTCATCATGTTGAATCCGCTTCTCCTATTGGTATGTTTGGTAGTTTGGCTCGTAAGAATGAACTAAAAATACTCTTGGCACGATCAGCTACCAAACATCCAGGAAACTAATTAATTGAGATTAATGGCGTTAGTTGACCTTTCAATTCCAAAGCCGTGCTAGTCCCTGCCAAGGTCTTCACCATCAATTCAGAATCCAAGGTCAGGTTGTCCTCTGCCACCTTGCATCAATGGCATCACTGTCTGCACCAACATCACCAGAGAGAACCTTTAGATAGTGTTCATACGCTTACATTCTGCACTCTGCTCTAGTCTAAAGGGTTGCTGCACATTGCACAAAATATGTGACACGCTATCAAAATGACCGAAGCTTGGATGAATGGCGTAGCCTTTCTGTTTTCAGCCAAAAAGATCTAGCTAGCGCCCCACATCAAACCCGATCCTCCGATGATATATTTTGCTCTGCTGCATCAATGGCACTCTAGATTCTAGATACGGGAGCCTGGGAGTGGTCTACAGGGCTAGATCGATGGTCTATAAGTGATTCGAACATTCAGAAAAGAAAACAACGATTTGGAGATTGACAAGAGGTATCGGCAAAGCACTTGGAGGTGCTGACCTGCCGGATAGTGCTGACAGACCAAAATATAGGGATTCAAATTGATGAGTGAGATCCGAGACAAAGTATCAAACACATCAGTTCAATCATCTACTTTATCTTTATCATCCAGGAAATTTGTGGTATACGGTATACAGGTTGAAGTTCGGTTGAAGTGATGGATCATCTTGTTTCAGATTGGTGTTGCTCCATCAGACTTGTTGCTCATGTCTGCTTGTCAAATGTGTTTATTCGCAGTCTAAACAGCCACATCATGAACCAAAGAGTAGCACAAAAGCAGTTTGCCGATGCAAGCACGATGCAAAGGTATACAATGGCTGAATAAGACTTGTATAAATAATTGCTCCATTGCAATCCTGAGAGGGTAAAGCGAGGCAAAATTGTTGTGCATGCATATCGGCATACCCCGCGTGTTTACTATTCACTATTCGGTCTTTGGCAGCTAGGTTCCATGGTATGCAAGCGATGCGTTGTTCTTCGACTTGCTACTTTCCGTCGGCTCTACATTTTCAGGCGACCTTGAACAGCTTTACTTTGGCCTTCAGTGCCCACGAGCCTAGTGTCCTGATTTGAAGCGTCACAGTTCCCTCAGAGGTTCTTGGTGCCTTATGAATTGTCTGGGCACTTTGAAGCTTTTGCGGCAGGCAGCGGGTCTCTTTTGAGCCATGTGTCTCAAGCAGGCGCCTTAATCGTCTTAATCTCATGAGTGCGGGTGGTCCTAGAAGCCACTGTAGTCCTGAGGCTTTCACAACGGTACATGTCCATCCTAGATTTCTATCAAAATCCAGGAACTGATTGGAGTCCAAGGTTGCTGTTTTCTGCTTTCCCACCTAGCTTTTATCACCAATTGAACCGTTCAGGATGAGGCTTCAAATCAGCTGCTTCCGAGCGAATTCTGAAGTCCTTCGTCTCTCAGCAACTCACCTCAGAAAGGATGGCGATCACTCTCTCTGGCAGCTCCTAGCACGTCCAGACAGCACCAGGAATAAAAAACATCTCTCTTCTTTGGATATTCTGACGCTTGGAAGGAAGGAAGAAAGGAAAGGAAGAAAAATGAACAAAGAATGATTCATCTACAGTAAATGTTCAGGGAAGACACAAAAGACTGGAAACAGTACTATATAAACTAGACTCAAACAACTTCTCGTCAGTTCAACAACTCACAAAGCCTCTGCAGCTGAGACAGGGAGCGCCACGAGATCCTGCATAGCTATCGGTTCACTTCCTTGAGCCTCTCGCGGTGGGTTTGCGCTGTCCTCCTCAGATTCCGACGTCTCTTCATCCTCCGGCAGAATTGTTTCGCTGTTCAGCTGTTCAAGGCTCAATGTATTCGGACAAATTGAAACATCCCTGTGTACAGGTGCACCTAAGGTTTCGCCAGTCACGATGGACTGGCATCGCAATTCTGTCAAGAGTTGAAATCACCCTGTGCTCCTCAAGTTCTTCGTACCTGCAATGCGATCAACTGATTCACAGCATAACAATTCTGAGTCTTGCGGCCAGTAAAAGGAGGCCAAACATAAAAAAAGAAAAAGCCGCGGTCCGTGGTGGAGCACTAATGCCCAGCCTGTATGGCGAAACTGCTAAAAGCTTTGTAGCCTCTGAGACAGAAGCTGGCCATTCCTGAAAGCAGCGGTGAATCTATCTGATTGGAAGTTTATCTGCGTTTCTAGCAAGTTGCTTTCAGCCAAGTTTAACAACACTCCAACTCATGACCGTCCTTCCAACGGACAAACTCGACCCCCTCGTAAGAGACATAAATTCGGCCATCAGGTAGAAAGCCATCGCCTCGTCTTCGAACGCAGTGTTGGCCTCTCCTGATTCCTACATTGTCTTTTGCCTGAGATTCATACTAGCAAATACTCCCGGTGAAACTGAGTGCAGCACCGTAGTCCAATGGAGAGCTGCTCAAGCCAGCATCCATGTTGTGCTAGATTGTCATCGATGACCGTTCTTGCCCTTTCCATCTTTTTTGTGGTTGAGACAAGCTGTCATCCTAGATACGGCGAACATCGATGTCCATTCTAGGAATCCAGTCCGTGTAGTCTTGGCTACAGGTGCCCTTACAGTGGCCAATCTGTGCACCTTGAAGATGAAGAACGATATTGCTATGATTTTGCAGAATCTGCCCTGTCCAAAGAATTTGCCAACAGTACCGTCGTTGGTTGCGGTCCCCGATGCATCTACCCTCGTCATACGCGTTTGAAGCTGAACAGCCAAAAACAGTCAAAGTGCAAACTGGTGCTTTGATGTATATAGAAACCTATGCTGCCTATGCTACTAGTAACAAGTGCATCGCTTCTAGTAACAAGTGCATTACTACTAGTAGCAAATAGCTACTAGTAGCTTTGCTACTAGTAGTAATGCACTTGCTACTGGTAGCGATGCACTCTGTTACTAGTAGTAATAGTGCACCTGAAGCATAGAAATCAATTAAATGTGCACAAACGTGCTTCATTATCCTGGCATTGTAGATGTCCATTCAGGGTCCATATAAAGTCTGTTGATGTAAGCCGGGATGCCCCTGGTTTGAAACAAAACGCACGCACAATGTGTGGCCTCGCGGCTGAAAGCTGCGCGTAGAAGGTGGCTCTTGCGAGCTCGTGTGCCTGTTTGGCTGCTGCAAATTGCAAACAAGTTTCAACCTCTGAGCAATGCCAACATGGAAGTCGGAGTCGGAAGCATGTTCTTCTAGGTACTTTTTCTGATTTCCCAGAAGGCTGGGTTGCCGTGTTTCAGCACACTCCGCCCAAGGGCTTCCTTTGTACAAGCGTGCAAGCTGCAAGTTGCTTCGCTTGCGCTCTGAGCTTTGCTTGTCAGAACCGTTTAGACATGTCGATAGCTCCTGATAGCTCCTTTCTGACTTCTGGAGGCTTATCCGTAGTTTAAATGTTCTGACAGGGACATGTGACTTTGACACGTCTCTATTTTTTCTTCGACCTGTGGCTTTCTCTTGTACCAGGTCGTGAGGATGATTGTTTGCTGAGGCCTGACCAAATAGCGAAAGGGAAGGAAGCTTCAAGTGTACATGCACTATTATCAGTAATGCTCACATAATAGTAAACTACGAGTCAATTACAAGCATAAAATTTGCCGGGCCTCCGAAACCATACAATGATAAACTACGGTCATCTACTGTCAATAATAAACCCGATCTTTCAGGTTATTTCTAAAAAACAAAGATCTCTAGTCAATTATCCCTTGCACAGACCGGTGTTGCACACAATTGCAAGCTGCTGTTGTAGACATCTGCAAATCAGGAGCGCACCACTACGCTTGGAGGCTTTGGAGCTAGGCCTGTCACAACATGCCAACAAAATCTGCCAACAACACCTTCTGTCGGCTCTCTCTTGCATTGATGGGATGAATGGCGTTGGCTGATAGGTTCACAGTGCAGTGCAAGCACAGATCTTTTCTGCACGGAGGCCCCCAGCAGCTCCCAAAGAAACTCTTGCTCAGGGCTCAATATATCCTCAGGCTGGTTGGCAAAAAGTATCTCCTGCCCTTCAGGCAATATCCTTGGCTACTGCAGACTATGTGGAAATTAATGAGTCAGCAAGAAGCTCAGAAAAAGAGTTTGGGCTTGGACACAACACTGGCTCAAACCATTCCAACGTCGGTTCTTGAGCACAACTTGGTATGGACTCGCTTGTACTTTGCAGGCTGAGCTGCCATTTTGCCCCTGCTTTGAGGCTCCACTGAAACTGCAGCATCCTTGGAGACTGGCGACAGTGAATGTAAGATAGGATTGGCCGAAGGCAGTCTTGGTCTTCTGGACCATTCTAGGATTTTCATGGATTTTCTAGGTCTCTGTCTGCAAATTGGGAACTGCTTGTTTGTCCAAGGCATCTCCAGGTGAAGCAATGGTCCATCCACCGTATCAGGTTGCACCTCATCAGGAAATTGCTATGCCAATGAGCACATCACTTCTGCAAAAAGAAACGATGAACATGGAGAAGCTGTCAAAAGAACCAAATGATATGTGTGATGCCAAGTGGCATTGGTCTTACAAGGAAAGCGGTCACCTTTGACCACCGTGAGTGTTTCTGGAAGTGCCAACAGCATTGCGCTCCAGCTAATGTCGACATCTTTCAACGAGCTCCTCAGAGTTCAATTTCAATGCACAGCGCAGAATAGAAACTGGTGCCAAAATGTCTGAACTGGATGACCTCAATACCCTATCTTTACTTATATAATTACACCGATAGTACTCGTAACGTAATGTTGCCAACATTCCCAACAACAGTTCCACGTCACTTGCCTGCATGACCACCGAGTTGCAAGCACTCATGTTCATCACCAAAGGGCAACACCTTCAATCTCTACATGTCAACACTGTATACATTATTCTGAACAGACGTGAACAAACCCCACCCAAATGAACTTGCCAACCCAATGGTAGCAAACTCGCCTCCACCCATATCAGAAAGCCTTGCAGTTCGCCAGAGCGATTCATTGTGAAGTTTGCTTGTCGTTCTTGCAGGAGCATAGGCTCCTCAATTCATGAACACACATCTTGCAAATGGTGCATACAATATTTACTATAGTAACACGTCCTGCTGAAGATAAAACTGTACACACTACTGTAGGTGAGAGCAAGTTCCTCCAAGTCGTGATGAACTTGCACATGCAAATCATAGACTACAAAAAAAGTTTCCTCGGGAAGAACCTCTATTAAAGTGGAGTGGAGCTTCCTCACGAAAGTTGTTGAAGTCGTAGAATTCCAGAGTCGCCACGTCAGACAAAGCCAGCCTTTCACAACCCTATGTGCTCTGCATTGTCTGGCAGTCCGGCACCCTGTCGTCTCCCTACAATTGACTGGATCTTTAGTCTTATAAAAAAAATACTTCATTGGAAAGAGCCTGTTTTCTAAGTTTGAAAAAACATCACTCTTTCACTCTTTCACTGCTGTCTGAACAGGCGGCGTTTTGCGGCCCATACAGGTCCAAAAGAGGTCAGTCATGTCGACTGCCAACTCGCTACCAAGGATCGTTGCCGATCGATCGGAACTTCAACGGCCATAGTCGGGTCGCTCCCGGCCGTTGGCAAGCACGAAAGTCCGAAAGCTCTGCGTCTCGTGGCTCCACCAGGCAATTGTCTCTGCAGCCACCGATCTACTCGGTCCCTGCGGACCGGGGACCACCTAAGCGGCAAACACAAGCTCCAATGTGACAACACGGCCGAGCATGGTCTCTGCAAGCGGAACAACCTGTGTGCTTGGACATGTTGCAGAAAAAACCGAACAGCACGGTTGAACCATTTGAGCTGAGCCGGGAATTCATGTCCACGAAGTCTCTCAAGCCCTGGTAAATTCGGGTCACTCCAACGCTTCGAACTGGAGTTATACACAGGGCCAACTTTGCCAAAGGTCAACTGATAGTCCAGATACATCTGAGCCGGCGAAACCCAGCTGCCCCAGACATGTCCTGCGCAGACCTCTTGCAACCAAGCCCACAATCTCCGAGCTTGCTCCGACCCAAACAATTGTATGGCATCCCCTGGCATGACTGTCCCCGGGGGAAATGGAACACATTGCACTGCAGGTATGTGAGTGTCTGGGGGAGCGGCAACCTGATCCGGGCTCACGGATGTCTTGCTCAGTTTGATAGACTCCTCACCAATAGCAGTGCGGATCTGTGTGACATAGTGTCCAACCGCTTCCAGATGTTGCAGTTGACCCAGAAGCCGATTCCAGGAGGTCCAAAACTCTGAAGGTCGTTGCACATTGAAACTCTTGGCCAGCTGATCAACGATGGTGTTGTTGTAAGCCGCCCACTCTTCAACTGGTCCCGGGATTTGAGACCCGACATGCGCTGCCACTTTGTGCACTGTAATGGCATGATCACGTCGCAGCTCAACAACAAGCTGGTCCCAAAGGTCAGCATCATGGGCATTAGGTCGCCCAATGGATGGGTCGTCCAACAACATCTGCACCTTGTTGACAACGTTAGCGCAATCGGACCAAATGCGTGTACGACACCCTGCACGAATGCCGATGCGGACTGCTGCCAGAACTGCCACAATCTCTGCGCGGCCACTGGTCTGCCACAGTCCACGCAGAGGCCCCCCCTGCCAAACATTCCGGGCTGCCATCATCTTCTGGAGACCTCCCCTGCACGACTGCCCAGGCTGCCAACCTGAGCCGAGGTACCTGAGGGAAAAGACAACTGCCATCCAGAGCATGCAGCGGGAGTTTCCAGCACATGAGTAGTGTCCGGAACTGCTTGTAACTGTTGGAGAAAAGGCAACTGTTCCTTCGGAGACGTCAGCCAGCAGTGCAGTTTCGTGCACGCTGGCGGCGGCTGCACGAATGGGTTGGAAGACCGGGCAGCACCAAATGCGATGATCTATGCTGTCCCTTGCACCACAATGTACACAGGCCTCACTGCCATCAGAAGAGGAATACTTCAGACCATCCTGAGTGAAGAATGTTCCAACATGTGCTGTTCGGACTAGGCCTTGCTGTATGTCCGGCAGGGACGAACTGACCCCTATGGACAGTTGGGCATCAACCTCAGCTAATCCCGCAAAGCCCTGCCTGCGTTGACACAAAGTGCCCACCATATGTTGCCATGCGAAAACCGCCCGAAACTCCAGTTCCTTCAGAGAAACCCTCCACAAACTAAAACTCCCGATGCGATCTCGCAACAGGCCTGTCTGGACATCCCAGGACCACTGGAGTCTTTGGCAGCCCCTAAACAAAACCCAAAGGGGTCCCGGAGGGAAGCAACCTTGTAGATGGGACAAGATCCAGTGCAAATCAATCTGTACCTCTTGTTCCTGCTGGAGCCTGCGAAAATCCAAAAGTGTGTGCCAAAATGCGAAAAACTCCGGATCATGTATTGGATGAAAATGCAAACCGAGGAGGAGCATGGCATTGGTGCCCGGCTTGTCCAAATGAAGACCCCGGACTGCTCCCGCTCTCAGCGATGCAAATTGCTGCTCCGTGATCCGTACAGACGCACATGCATGGAGCGCCCGTGGCCAAGCGGCCGTCCGCAGCGCCCGCAGCTTCTGGCTAAATGGAGCGCAGGAGACTCGCAAACGCCCCCACAACGGACCTAGAGCCTCAAATCTGGCAGCCTGCAAACCTGTGGTATGTCTACGGCCGTAGAAAACACATCCTCCCAAGTCTTTGGCCCAGTACTGAACTGGCAGGTCCAGCTGTTGCAACTGTTTCCGATGAACCCCATGCGTTGCCCAGACATATGTCTTACCCCAATCCACTTCTAATGCCATCATATCTGCAAAAGTCCGAAACTGGTCCACTGCATGTCGAAGAGCATCCGGATCCGGCGCTATCAACTCCCAATTGTCCACGTAGGAGGTCGGGCGACTTGCCGGGGCAGAGGAGCACATCCAGCGATCAAAGCCAATGGCAACTGCCGCCATCGCCACACAGGACAGAGCATCGCCTTCAGGGAAACCATTGCTGCCCATTACGGGTGGACCAACAGAGCCTCGCACCCGAAAATGCCGCTTCAACGGGATGACTGCTCCCGCCCACGCCCGAATCAGACCATCGGCCAGTCCCAAAGCATGGCATAGCATCCAGGTTGGAAAACGAGGGAGAACGTTAAAAGCTTTGACCAGATCAGCCACCATCCCAACTAGTGGCTTTGTGTAAATTTGTGCATGCTCCAAACGCCGCTGCAGAGTAAACAAAACTTGGCCAGCTGTCTTCCCGGGTAAATTGCCGATCACTTGCGGGCCAGCCAAGGTACCCAAGTGGCGTAGGGCTTGACGGGCTCGAAAGGTGCTCCAGACTCTGTAAACCATGGAAAGGACCGTGATCGGTCTAAACTGCTGGACACGAGTGGCCCCTGGGACCTTGGCCAAGGCTGTGATGATACCTACCAAAGCTTGAACCGGCCAATGACCACTTTGTTCTGCATGGTGACAAATATCAATCAGCTCCTGTGTCAGGCCATCCGGCAACTGCAGCAAATCTAGCCGGGCTCACCCCATCAGGCCCCGTAGCTGACTGCCTCTTCTTGGTTTGGACTGCACGTCGCCACTGATCCAGTGAAATCGGTTCAAACAGCATCTCAGCATGAGGGATGAGAGGAAGGACCTCTGCTTGAAACCTCTGCCAGCGCCCTGGAATCTGATCCATGCGCCGATGCCACCATCTTTCCCATTCAGCACCGAAAGCCCGAAACAACGAAGGCAAGTCACCCGTGGACTTCTCTTGACGAACGACGCTGCCAGGAGCGGCCCCCGAAACATCATCAAGCCAAAGCTTATCAGGGGTAGCATGGATAACCTGTCGCCGCTTTCCTGCCAAGACCAGTGGT